TCTGCACTAAAGGTGACATGGAATATAATAATTTCCGATTGTCGTATGATTAATTTAAATTAGCAGCAAAAGAATGTTACGACTACTATTTTTATAAAACTTCGGATAACTTAATATGTAATCCCAAAGTTTTTTGGCAGTTCATAAACCATAAGAGGAAAAAGGATAGTTATTCAACCTTCTTGAAGTTTACAAACTTTCTCGTAACTTTTTACCGAATTTTACTCTTTTTCATCTTTTCAATTAGATGTTAGCGACTTTCGGCACGTTGATGACTATCCTAAAACTACCTTTACAAATTTGGTCACTCTTGGACCAGATGGAGTTCCTGAGATTATTTTAGGTGCTGCTCTTCTCTGGCGCCCATCTTAACCGTAATTTTGAATAAGTCTTATTCTTCGGGAATTATTCCTTCCGTGTGGAAGGAAGCTTTCATTAGGCCAATCCATAAAAAAAACAATAAGAATGACGTGTCAAACTACCGCCCTATAGCTAAACTGTCAAAAATTCCTTAGGTTTTTGAGTTGATCATATATGACAACATTTATTTCCATTGTATGACATACATTAGTGGGCGTCAGCATGGCTTCTTGAAAAAGAAAGTCACGGTGACTAACCTAGTGGAAGCCATGACAGTTTTCTCAAATAATATGGAAAATACTTTGACAAGCAAAGCCTTTGACATGGTACCACGTTACGTTATTATTTTAAAATTAAAACTCTTAGAATTCCCTGACAGCTTCTTAGCCATATCTAAAGTCATATCTCTCTGGTAGAACTTACAGAGTCCTCTTTGGTTCAGCAATTCCTTCGCCTCTTTCGTCTAATTCTGGTGTACCCCAGGGTAGTCACTTAGGTGCACTGCTGTTCATAATTTCAATTAATGACGTTGTTTCCATGTTAATGAATGACATGAAAATTTTCGAAAAAATAAGCTGTGCAAATGATGCGATGTATTTTCAGAATGATTTGAACCGCTTCAACGGGTGGTATTCAAGTAATAACCTAAAAATCTTAAAAAAGACGGCCACTTCTTACAAGCTATACTGTGAATGACCAAGCACTTAGTCGAGTTGAGTCAATAATAAAGCTGGGTGTTTACTTCGACAGCAAGTTATCATATATAAACCACTACAATTATATCACATGCAAATAAAGCTCGATGTTAGGATTCATTAAACGCTAGTCAAAGGAGTTTAATGATCCTTATTTCCTAAAATCGCTCTACGCATACCTGATCCTTCCTCATCTTGAACATGCTTCGCAAGTATGGTCACTCTATTACTTTATACATATTAATAAGATTGAGTCTATTCAAAAAAGTTTTTTGAGGTTCGCACTGCGCCTTCTTCCTTGGGAAGACCCCATCATTCTTCCACCTTATGAACACAGGCTCAAATTAATTGACCTACCCACACTGGGCAAAAGACCTGATGTTTCGGATATGTTATTCATTTTTCAGCTAGTATTATAGTTAAGTATAACCCTTTTCTTTATTTTAACAAATTCTTGTTTTAGTTTTTCATAGTTTATATTCATATTTAATGGAGTATTAATACTAATAAGTTTTATTTTGTATAATTTTTAAATCTAATTTTTAAGTCAAAAATTTGTTCTGTCTAAAAAATATTTATCTGTACATGCATTCCTTAATTTAAGTTATGTGAAATGTTTGAGCTAAACATAAATAAATAAATAAATAAATAAAAATTTCAAACTAAAATGGGTAATATCTACCTTTTTGTGATAGGGTTGTAATTTGGCTGCTCTATTAAGCTTTAGTACTATTTACCTAAAGGTTTTTGCTTTTCCCTTTTAGGATTAAATTTATTTATTGAAATTAATTTTACTCTAATTAATATATTATGAATGGTCTGGTATTGATCTGGGGTAATTGTTTCATTAAGGACATCGATAGATCTTCGTACACTCGACGAGGGAATAGCCCCATTATATTTTATTATTGGAGCCTCGTTCATTCCGAAGATTCAATGTGTTATGAAATCTTTCAATATCTGCGTTGGGTGTTTATTATAATTTTATTATTGGGTGTTACAAAGTAAATGTATATACCTTCATTTTTCAGAAAATTTTGAAAATTTAGACTCATGAGACCCTCTCCTTAATCCGTTATGATTTTGGTTGGTAAAATAAAAAATTTTAACAATAATAGTAATAATAATAATAATAAAAGTAACAATAATAATAATTATGAAAAAAAAATAAAGATAATAAGAATTATACGAGTAGTAACAGTACTAATACTTATTGTAACAATAAAATTAACTTTAATCAAAAAAATAACTATTATTATAATAAGAGCGATTGTAATTATAACAATAGTAATAATGATAATAATAATAATTAATAATAATAATAATAATAATAATAATAATAATAATAATAATAATAATAATAATAATAATAATAATAATAATTACAACAGTAATAATAAAAATAATAATGATAATAATAATAATAATAATAATAATAATAATAATAATAATAATAATAATAATAATAATAATAATAATAATAATGATAACAGCGATAATAGTAATAATAATAACAATATCTATAACATTGAAAATAATAATGATAACAATAATAATAATAATAGTGATAGTAATACTGACATAAATCTCGATAGCAATAATAATAATAACGCTGAAATTAATGAAAGAGACCATATAGCGACAATATTAATAATACAGCTAGCACCCAATTTTCTATATCTATTTTCAAAATTCACAACCTACCCAAAGCTCGCTTATCTTAATTTTTCACATAAAAGCAGAAAAGCAGTGCTTCATGGAGGACTTGAAAAGCATCTTCTAGCGAGGCTGGGTTGCGAGTAAAAATTATTAAACGCATTGTGTCAGGTAATTTTCCCTTAAATGTTCGCAACCGAGTTTAAATATTGGCTCGGACAATTGCCTGCGCATCTTTTATTTTATTTCTTAATTTACTTGTAATTTTTTTATCTCATTGCAGAGCCAAATATACACATTTCCAGGTATGTTAGCTATAAGCTTGCTAACTTCCTTAAAATTGAAAGCCAGTATTCAAAATGCATTTTCATAATCTCCTGTAACGGTTTCACTAAATAAGGTAAAAACATTGCGGTCGGCTATGTGCTGACCACGTTAGATTTGTTTTTTAATTTTTATTTTCATTTTTTAATTTTTAATTCTTGTTAAAATTTAATATATTATTTTTTTTTTAAGTTTTTAAAAAAATTCATTTGTTCTTTTTGTTTTATTTTCCTTTTTTCCGTTAGTCACCATATATTGTATTTTCAATTATCATAAATAATGCTCATACGTTTAGTATAAGCTTATGACTGATTTATTAATAGAATAAAATACATGCTTAGCCTAACCCTGAAATTAACTAACATATTCAGTACAGTTATGTTATTTTACGAAGAATAATAATGAGATATTACAATTAAAAGAAACAGGGAAATTAAATTTGAAGAATAAATAAAAAAATTGGGACTTCATTCCTTTTGAAATCACAATGCACAACGGGTTATAAATAGCGCCTGTTTTGAAAATAGTATATAACCAATACTGCCATAATATAAACTAATCGTGTGTGCTTTCCATTACAAGAAGTGCTGCTGGATTGCCATTGTGTATACAATAAGATGGATTACGTGATGGCAACAAATTGTGCACATCGAGTTTTCTGTGGGAACGCACTTCTTGGTAACCTGTCGGTCTGTCTGTCTGGGTTGCACGTCTGTTTCTCAAGTTCAATTCAGTGTTTCTCTAGTTCACAAGAACCAATTTTGATGAAATTTTATAAGCAAGTTTATTTCAACTATTTTAGGCCTGTTTTACATTTTTGATCACTATGAAGATATTATTATATATCCAACAGATTTACTTGAAATTTCATATATAGGATTAGGAAGAAATCAGGCTTCAGCAACTGGGCGTTTACTACGGGCCAAATATACATTTTTGCGTAATCAAACGATTTCATTAAGATTTAATATTTAAATTCTTCGTATTAAAACAATGAAAAAAAAAATTTCTTGAAAGATCAGGGCTCGGAAACTGATCTGAGGGTCGATTTTACTTTTTTTACCATATCTACGAAACGAATTGATGAAATTTCTTGAAATTTCATATTTTAGTTCTGGTTGTTATCAAAACTAACTGGCGAGCATTTCAGGGAATTCGGCAAAACTCTACTACAAATTTTCCTTTTTCTATTTATGTTAACTATAAGCTTATTAATGCCCTAAAAATACGAAAGAAGTACTTAACGGGCATTTTTATAATATTCTGTACCACTTTCACTTAACTATACCACAAACATTACGGTCGGCAATGTGCTGACCACATCAGATTTTTTTGTAGATACTTTATATTCCTATTATCAATAGGCCGTCTATATGCTTTGAGATCTTGTGTTACTTCTCTTGGAAAATTCTAATATTTTTGCGGTACTTATAGTATATAGTTCTTGACAAGTAGTTGACAAGCCCTCTTGGTCATTAAAAACTACACCAACACCTTATTTTTGTCATAAGAAACATCATCTGTTGGTTAGTTTGCTATTTTAACAATTGGTGGATTAAAAGAATCTAAAAAGTTTTGTTAATGTTTTTGTTTTCATTTTTTATTTTTTAACTTTAACCCAATTAGTATATTTCATTGCTTTTGTGCTCTCTTTATTTGTATCATTAGTGTTAGTACAGCTATTATTAATATTACTATTATCCAATATTTTATTATCCAATATTTTATTATTCTTTACAGTGTTACAAACTAAATTAAATTTATTCCCAGTATTATTAAGTGCTTTGCAGGTGCTATTTTTCTTTATTTCTGTTTTACTATCACTCTCCTTAGCTCTCATATTGTTCTTTTTAAATAAAAATTCAGTAAATTAAAAATATCCTATTGTTTATATTTTATGTATATGTATATATACAAAATTTTACGTGCAGTATAAAAGAAATAATTAAAAAAATAATTACTTACGTCACAAATACAAACGAAAAATTCCAATCTGCAGGATCGTTGTTGTGGCACATTGATTTCTGAATTCTAACATCAAAATCAAAATTCATTGACTTTGTAAAATTTTTCAAATAGGTAGATAAAGAATATTTGATATCCTCAGGTGAACAACTTGCTGGTACGCAAATACCCCAATTAATCAGAGAAAATCTTGGTATTCTATGACCCACCTGTAAAATAATATAACATAGGTTTTTTGTGTTGGACTAAAAAAATGTTTGAAAATTAAATGTGTATTAAGTCAAAAACGTTTAAAATACTTGAATAGCGAAGTGAGTTCAAAACAAGTAAAAACGTTTCAGTCGGTATAAGCAAATTGAATTATACTCTCCCCTTCTCATTGTTTATAGCAATTACTCGAGCCTGTGGAACTATTCTATAAAATCTTCACGGATTTGTCCGGCCATAACTGGACTTCATTATTTTTCCAAATATTTGCAATTAACTTTTAGAGTTGTACGGCAAGTAACCGAACCTGTTAAGCAAATCCACTTAAATTTCACAAATATATCTGATCTATAATTTGACACACAACTGCCAAGTTTCTTCTGGACTTGTATGGGAGCTACTCGAACCTGTCAAGCAATTAGAGAAAATTTTCGGGAATATATCTGACCCATAATTGGACACACGATTGCCAAGTTTCATTTATCTATGATTAATTAGAAAAATTCTATTTTCAATCTATCCTTCATCAAGAATTACATAATCCACCTCATAGGAACTCAGCGTATCTAATAATATCTTAATACAAAATTTAAATTTTTTTATTTTACATGTTGAATTTTTCTAATAATTGAAAGTGGATAAGACGAGGAATTTAAAACTGTCTTTATGTAGAAAACAACATTAAGAAACTGTCCTACCGACGCGGTATTGTTCTTAATTTATATTTACTTATACAATTCTATGGTGAGCGTTCAAACTCTTTTTTTTCAACTCAAAGAATATTATTTGATGAATAGTAAATAAAACATGTAATCTGTCTTTTGTAAAAATACTACAATTAACTTCCCTTATTGATAAAATTAATAAAATTAAATCAATTCAATAATTGATAAAATTACTGTATATAAAATCCCAACTAAGTTGCGCAATCAGAGTAGTTTATTATGCATAAATACTGTTACAAATATGTAATGCGTTCCTACTATTTCAACTGTGATTTGTACTCATTTAAATACTTTCACATGACATGTGCGGAAATAATTATGTTAGAACCAAAGTAACATATTTTTGTTAAAAATTATTGTCTGCTTCTTTTAACCGACCGCATCGCACACAATAAGGGTTTGTGTAGATCAGCATCTCAAGTTTGCCTTTTTTTAAGAAAATAATCAGCAGATTTTCCTTTAACTTTATACAAAAGCTTTTACAAAAGTTAGCTGGATTGAAAATGATAGTATAGTAGTTTGATTAAATTAGTAGCAATGACTGATACTTAAAGGACGATTAATCCCCATTTTCATAACTAATGTAGATTATAACCAATGTAGGTGTTGGTTAGAAAGTCCTTACTCTGAGGTTTCCAAATTATATTTGTTAGCGAACCTGTCTTACACAATCCCGGAGTTATACTCTAAATTTCAAACAGTAAAAAAATCAGTCTAAATTGATTTTAGCCCACTGTAACTTCGAACTTGTTGACGAAGGCCTATACATTGGCATATAGCAGTACACTTTGTTACGAGATACCCTGTATTTTGAAATACATTTTCAATATTTTAGGTTATTTTTCAAATAGTTTAAAATAATTAATTTAAAATTAAATCATTTCATTTAATTGAAAAGAAAATTTTAAATTTAAATTTGAAAAGTTTAACTATCAAGCCATACAATTATAACGTTAAAGTGAGTAATTGTAATTAATTTAAAACGAAATTTTTATTTTACACTATGGAAAATTTTCATTTTTAGCACTTTTTCAAAAATTTTTTGAAAAAAAGTGCTTATTAGTTTCACTCTGTCCGTTCGTCCGTCCGTCCGTCCATCCGTCCTTCCGTCCCTCCGACTGGCCGTGTGTCTGTTTACAAAACTTCTACACCCTTGAAGACAGCTGAAATTTAATACGTACATAAATCTTAACTTGAAACTTATTTCCGTAAAACAAAATTTTCACCTATCTCCCTCCCTCTAGAAGTTATACCCCTCCAAAACCCTAAAAATGGTCTCTTTTAAATATTTGTTGCAATGAAACCATCAGCATTTTTGAAATTTGGCAAACGCAAAAAGGTAGCGGCTTGCTTCCCCTAGCGCGGTATACTATAGTTAAACTTTAGAAAAACAAAATGGCCGGTCAAATTTTCCGTTATCTAAAGTCCGTTTTTTCCAAATTTTTAATGTCGTTTTTCTTCTAGACCCCAGCCTGTAGAAGCTTGAAATTTTAGGGGTTTTTAAACATTAGTAAAAAGTTTATTTCGTTAGAAGAAAAATTTTTTCCATCTCCACCCCCTCTCAATTTATCGTCTCTTGAAATTTGTAAAATTTGAATTTTTGACGTTTTATATTTCCAAAACCGCAAGCTTTTTCAAATTTCTATAAACGCAAAAAGCTAACGGTAAATTCCATGACATTAAAAAAAATAATTATTTTTCTTAACTCTCTCAATTAAACCTTAAAATCGAGCATTATGTTAACCCCTCTTTATATTAATTTTTGCTTTATTTTAAAGACTGCATAAATCGTTCATCCTAAATATATGCAATCCTAAAAGTAGTTTTGTATATGAATGAAAATAATTTTAGTAGTGTGATAGGAATAAACTGTATTTAAAATCAGTATTTTCACTAATTGTTGAATGGAAAAGTGCTACAATACAAACCATTGGTTTGATTATTTTTGGATTGGTTTGATTATTTGGATTTTTTAAATATATAATCTGTTGACGATAATTTATTTGTAAAATTCAATTTGTTTTGTGGTCGAATTGATTATTTAAAATTGTATAAATATCGGAAATGGAAGTTTAAAATCAATAAATAAATCAATATCATAAACATTTAATTGAACGAATTGTTATTAAAGATAAATAACATTGTATGAATTTTAGTTTGTAAGCTGACATCTGTAAGGGTTATGGCCAGTAAATGAAATAAATAAATAAATATTCACGGACCAATTCGGAAACAATTAAAAACATAAAACAATTTATGTTTATTTAAAATTCCTAAGAATACTAACTACTTTTTATGCACTTCGTGAAGGGTATATTCACTTTGGTATGGAGACATGGAGCTTGTAACCACTTGAAGGAGTCGTCTTCGGTATGGACATATATATATATATATTCTTGCTCAGCGTAAAATTCTGCGCTGATTTAGACATGTCCGTCCGTCCGTCCGATCGCACGATAGCTCAAAAACGAATAACGCAATCGGCACCAAACTTTCACAAGTAGTTTCTTTTGTGCCAATGACAAACCCTATTGTAATTGGACTAATTCGGAGAACGGGTTCGGGTAGCTGCCGTACAACTCAAAGAGTTTTTTTAAATATTTCAAAAACTAATAAAGGTATCAATATAAAATTTGGTATACAAAATTTTTGCCCAATCATATTCTACACATGCTTAAAAATTTTAATAGAATAGCTGCACCGGTTCGGGTGGCTGTCATACAACTATAAAAAAAATTTTTTTATATTCGGCAAAATAATAAAGTCAGATTCTTGAAATTTGGCAGTCATATGTCCAATTATAAGTCAGATATATTTCTTAAGTTTTAGTTGAATTTCTTGACAGGTTAGCGTACCTGTCAGACATATCCTTGAAATTTCTATAGAATGGTTTCACAGGTTTGAGTAGTTGCTATACAACAACGAAAGGTGCAGGGTATAATTCAATCGGTTCATACCGACTGAAACTTTTTACTTGTTTTGCTATGGTTTTAGTGTGCTGCATTATATGTATGTAGGTATATTATTCATTCATATCTCTTAATTTCATAGAAATATTTCATAGTTATTCGTAGTTATTAGTGTTGTTGTTTCAATTATAATTACCTTGTTTCAAATTAAAGTTAAAACATTATACAATATTGCGAAATTTTAAAAAGAAATTAAGAAAGAGAAATTGATATCTTGATATCTTTTCATATGCACTTGGTTTTTTTTCAAGTGATTTCAAATTTTAGGAAAAACTACATATCACAATACTATATTCGGGCATGCTGATAAGACAATTGCCCTCAATTGATATTTCTTGATAAATAGCGTTTGAAATAAACACGACAGAAAGGTGCTCGAATTTCGAATCTTTAATATCAGTTACTTCATATTGAAAATTTAAAAAGCTCTTACTTATTTGATATAAGCTTTACATTTTTCATTGATGATGAGAAAATTTGGAATTAAATAAGATCCCCCGTCAAATGTGATTTTACCTAGTACACGAAATTATGAAAGTATTTGGTCAAAGAACTAATTAATATACGCGAGTCTATAATACTTATAGAAAATAAATTCATAAATCTTGTGAACGCATCAACTACAACCACTAAATATTTTTTTTGTTTCTTTTTCCAAATAATCAACATGCAAAATCCTAAAAACGTAAATTTTCCTTGTTCACCATATTTGTCTCTATGTCTCACCTTGCCCATTCTTTCTACCTTCTGTGTTATAAGTGTGTTCCAACATTCCTTTTAAGTCATGTACAAGCTGAATGATTGATATAATTTTCGTGACTTTAGAGACACGTTCAATATAGTCGTCATTTCTGTTTAGTTTGGTTATTTATTTCACCCCCCTTATCGTTTCCTTTAATTGTGGTAGCCATTTCATTCAAATTTATTGAGTTACATTCACGCCATTAGTGTGTCGTTTGTTCCTTATTTTGTACATTTTTTAGCAATTGTTCGACTATCATCAGAACCCTATATAAAAGTTTGGCAAAGTTATCAAAAAAAAAATTGCATAACGCCATTTCATATTTATCATGAAATAAATTTTATGCCTGTTACATATTATGTTAAGCAAATGAAATTTGATAACAATTTTACAATATCCCTAAAAACAAAAAAATCTTTTGTATAAGTTTCCGTTTGATTCTTATTATTCTTATTGTTTTAGTATTTTCATCATTCATTCTCTTTCCATTTCTTTTTTTTTGTTCTTTAATTCATAACGTTACGAATCCGTTTGCAGATGACACAGACATATTGGCAACAGGCAAA